GGGATCCATCTATTGGTGGGGAGCTTCACCTGCCGGAAACCGGGTCCGGTGTCCCTTTTTACAGACAAAATAAGATTGAGCACATAATACTCCTGCCAGCATTGATTGCCCTGGAATCCCAGGGGATTAACTGTGCAGGGAGAGCCTCTTCACCCAGAGGGCAGGCGCCAGATTCTAGCTCTTGCACACTAGCTCTCCCCCTTTCCTTCTCCAAACACTCGTTACCCCGGGCCTACACCAGGACCCCTTGTCCCCTTTTCTCCATCCTTCCTTGCCACCCACGCTCCCTCTATCCCAGGCCCCCTTGTCCCTTGATCCCCCATCCATCCTTACCACCCATACCACTGAAAATCCACTATGCTATTACTTTGGGGGGAGAAAGGGTCGGGGAAATTTTCCACTGATTTCATCGGGATCGAGGGGTCCACCTTAGTCCACTCGTGAAAGACCAGTCGGTAATCCTTCCCCCACCTTCCATTATCTTGGTCCCTCCCGGTGTTCCTTTCCACCCTTCCTAACCTTTCCCCTCTTTCCCCCCGAGCCATTTCTCAGAGATATCCTGTAGTTTGTGCTCTGCTTCTTGTCTTGTGTGTGTGTGTTGGATCTGTGTTTTAACTTCCTCCCAGTGCGCTGTTATCTCTGTTTGGATTTGTTGTTGTATGCCTTCAGTGAACTCGGGTCCTTCAAGTTCCAACCTCACCCCTTTCATCTCATAAGTGCATCGTCGTTTCCATAGAGCCCATAACACCGCCCTGCGTCCCAATGTAAACATGTTCAGTGTGAAATCGTCCACCTGGTTTGTGTTCCATGTTTCCAATAACAGTGCTTGCCAGCTCCATGGCCAGGGCTTTGTTACTTCCAGCTGATCCCAGACCCTGTCCCACCAGCGCCAAAGGAAGACCGCTCCTGGGCATTGCAGGAAGATATGCTCTATGGTTTCTGGTCGTTTCCTGGTTGGAAAGGAATGCAAGTAGAGTTTGCACCACGGTAGCGCCCACCCATTTTGTTATAAGGAAGTCCTGTCTATTAGCCAGTCATTTGTTGGGAGGCAGCGGTGCTCGATCTGCCATTGGAGGGAGGCAAATTTGGCTGGTCTCGTCTTGATGAGTCGGAACCATTTAACCCCCCGCAGTGATTCCTTACTTGTATTCAAATGCTTCATCCATCTAGCCTCCACTAAGTCATGCAAAGTGGATGTTGGACGGAGAAGCCTGTATGTTGATTTGACCATTATACTGTTCAGTTTTCTGGTACATTTTATACCCCTTCCCGCGGGAGAGGTCCACGTCCACTCTATGGGGTCAAAAGGTAAGTCGGTTATCGGAGTGTCTGGGAGGAAGGCCGTCCATTTATCCTCCTTGTCTAATACTCTAATACGTGACAGTTCCTCTTTTTGGAAGATTCTTGTTTCCTGCAGCGCGGTTCGATATAATGTGTTACCTTTACTCACTTTAAATATGTCGACCACTACCGAACTTCCGTGGCAGCATACCATGTTACCGACCTCTCCCTGACTGTCCGGGATTTGCACCCAGTCGGATTCCCGCAAGACGGGTCCTTTTCTGAGAATTTTCCACCAATTCAGAGGGATTCATTCGATCAGGTCTTCGAAGGCGGATTCCAACCTACAGCAACCGGGGTATAGGAGTTTAGAGAGGGTCACACCCGAACTAATCTCTGCTGAGTTGTTCTGTTCGGTGCCCTTCTTTTGTCGTTGCCAGAACGACGCTGGCCGGAGCTGGGGTGTTGCCCTGTGACTTGCAATTCGCAGGAGTATGAGATCTTGTAGAGAGATCTGGGGGTTGCCGAGGGAGGAAGGCAATCCAGTGGCGGACCGGGGGGGGCTGCGTGGTGGCGAGAAGAGATCAGCTATGGGAGATATTAGTCTGGTTGGTACTGTCTCTGAGTAAGCATGTCCCGAGGAAAGGAAGGCTAGGAATTACCTTAGGAGTCTAGATCTAAACGTCTGCTGGTGTTTCTTGGTTACCAACGAGGGTCTTAAGAATGATTTAGGAATCTGGGACTTCTAATAACTTAGCTTAGATGGTCCAGTGCTGATGTACTCAGTGACCTGCGGAGGTTCGATGCCGGAACGACGCTGGCCGGTGTTGGGGCTTTGCCCTGTAACTTGCGGATGCAGGAGCGTGAGGCCTGGTAGAGAGATCTGGGGATGCTTTGGGGGGGCATTCGAAGGGACAACCAAGGGTTGTTGCTGAGACGACGTTGGTCGGAGCCGGGGTGAGTCGTGTTGCCCTGTAACTCAGCAGGGTGGGGGTGTGAGACCTGGAAGAGCTCAGCAGGGAGTCTGTCAGCGCTGGAAGGCTCAGATGGTTTGCTAGGGATTCGTCGATTTCTGAGCATTCGTGGACTTCTGTGGTGGTGTAGCAGACTGTTTTTCTGAAGTTTGTCGAAGTAAAATTCTGAGTAGCTTAAAACTTCTGAATCCAATTTTTTCTTCATTACGATTTTTCTCGTCATCATAAGGGACGCTGAGCCCGGTTCTCGGCAATCTCGGTTTCGTTACTCCGGGTGGACTGTGAGGACCCCGGTCTCAATATTTCTCATCAGTAATATCAGCCTTGGGCACTGGGCCCGTTTACAAAAAAAAAAAAAAAAAAGAATCGAAGGCCAGCTTTCGGAACTGGATATTTTGAGCCATGTGAAGAAAATTTTGAAAGGTGTCTGTTATGCTAGAGTCTTCCCGGAGCCCAAGGTAAGCCATTACACTTTTGACTGGACCTCTTGGAAGCGTTCCTGCAAGGCCTGTGTGTATTTTGCCTTCATGAATACTCAGCTAAGTGAGGAAACAGGGGGAAAACTGAAAACTCTGAATCCATACTGGATTCCCCTAGATCAGTTCCTTAAGCCTGTCAACCAGATTCTGAAAAAGATTTATTGTGCCGAAGGTATCTCAGCTCAGATCATAGCTGACTGGCTGAGACATGGCTCACTTAAAGATCAGTTGTCCATTCCCCAGTTTGTCACTGGCCTGCAGAGCCCCTGGGCTCTGACAGAGCTCCAATCTGGGGAGGATGAGGAGGACAAACGCAGGAAGGTACGCGTCGGGTCCCTCGGCCATATCCAAGCTAAGGGCGGCGAGGTTGGACAGGTAAATGGTCCTTCCACACCGTCTGAGACTCGCTAGCTGGAATGTGAGAGGCCTCAATGATAGTGGAAAAAAAATATGGCTCTCCTCGTGGGCCCACTCCCAGTCAGCCCATATTCTATGTCTGCAGGAAACCAAGCTCAACTCGGCCCGGATTGAAGAATATACAAATTGGTGCCCGACCCTCAGTTTTGGGCTCCGGCGGACGGAACAAAAGGCGGAGTTGCAGTTTTGTTTCACAAGGATCTAGATGTGGAAATAATAGATAGCTTTGTCGATACTAAGGGCCGTTTTGTTTGGGTAAGAGCCGCGGTGGGTAATGAAGATTGGGGTATTATGTCACTTTATGCACCGGTGGATTATCTGGAACGATGTGATTTTTTTGTTGATCTGCCGACATACTTACCAGACACTGAACATCTGGTATTAGCAGGGGATTGGAACGCGATTTTAACCCCTGGCTTGGACTCACCACGCTCTAACCCAACTCGTGCAGACACCATCACACTGCTAGAACTGATGGAAGCTCAATCCTCAGTGGATGCTTACCGTGTGCTTAACCCGGAGTCCTCTGGATTTTCGTGGTTCAGTCCGTATCCAGACGAGTTTAACCCCCCTCCCTGTCAGAGATTAGACTTTCTCCTAGTGTGGGGCTCCTTGTGAGACCGGTGTATCTGGTCGGATGTGCAAGTCTCTGACGTTTCGGACCATTACCTCATGTCGTTAGATGTCCTCTCCGACGATCAGGTGAAGAAGTTTAGTGGCACTCTTATGCTGAACGTCTCCCACCTAAAGGATGAAGGAGTTATCAACTGGGTGAAAGATCATGTTTTGAAGTGGGAAGGCATGAAATCCCTATTTTCTAAATTTGAGGACTGGTTAGATATGGGTTTTGGGATATTGCAGTCTTCCCTGGATGTATTTTCCCAGATTAAGGCCAGCCAACGAAAGGTGAAAGAAGAAAAGTTGAAACAAGCAATCTCTCTAGTGGAGTCCAAGCTTGGTCAAGACCTTTATGGAGACCTGCACTGGAGCAGGGTCAGAAAAGACTTGCTGGTTCAGCTGGAAGTTCTTGAAACTCAACGTCAAAATCAATGGCAGGAATGGCTTAGAATTCGGGGCCTCAAGGGACAATACCGTATGAGTAAACTCACCTTTCAATCCCTCCTGATCCAGGGTACCAAGCCACTACTCAGAGAACTTTGCCACCCCTTTTTGCACGATGCTCCTCTGACCGTTACTACCTCTTCAATGTGTGCTTACGCCGCGAAGTACTTTTCGGATATTTTGACTACAATTCGCCCCGCAGATTCGTTTGACTCTGACCTTTCAGTCTCTTCTCTCTTCTGGGACAGAACGCAGGTCAAGCTTTCCCTAAAAGGCAGATTAGACTTGGACAGACCTTTTCCAACTGAGGAATTACTAGTTGCCGCCAAAAATGATGTCCACAGGCAAATGCCCTGGGATAAACGGTCTCCCAGTCGAGCTGTACACAGCAACTTGGGACGATACGGGGCCCATTCAAACGGAAATTTATAACTTTGCAATCACTGAAGGGAGTCTACCAAAGGGCCTGTCGAAAGGAATAATCTCCTTGCTATACAAAAAGGTGCCAAAACGAAAAATTGTAACTGGCGCCCAATATCCCTTTAAAATGTTGCCTATAAAATACTAGCGAAAGCCCTGGTGATCAGATTAGCACAATACTTGCCCGATCTGATAGGTCCCGGGCAGGGAGCTTTCGTAAAAGGGAGAACATTTTAGCTATTATTCAGGCTCTAGAGATTATCAGTTCAGAGAGGAGAGATGTAGCTATCCTCTTATTCGATATGAAGAAGGCCTATGATAAAATAGGTTGGGCGTTTGTCACCACAACGCTGACACGTATGCGATTCGGGACTGTCTTTTGCAAACTGGTGAAAGCTATGTACTCACGCACTTCGGCTATGGTTAATGTCAATGGTTGCTTATCCACTCGTTTCAATTGTCCCATTCACTTCGCCAAGGTCAAGATCGTCGTCACCGACTGTTCAAGCGCCAAGGTCAAGATCGCCGTCACCGGCTCCATCAGTGTCGAATGCGATCGTTCCTTACCAACCACGTACGAACACCAACCAAGTTGGAACTGGTGGACAATGGTACTCACAGCAGAGGAACCCGGGCAATAGCGAAATTGCCGCACTGCTGAGAGAACTCGTAAACAGTGACAGGGAGAAGAGGGAGAGGAAGAGGGAGATTGAAGACAGGAAGGCGGAGGAAGAGCTGGTCGAACGAGCTAAAGAAGAGGAGAGAAAAAAAATGGAGGATGAGGAGAAGAAGGAAGCGGATAGGGAAGCTCGTATGGCCAAACTGTTCGCTGAACAGATTGCTGCCATGGAAAAGAAGCGTGAAGATGAGGCTGGTTTCAGGCGCGATCCAACTAAAGGGAAGGAGAAATCCAGCGCGCCGGAAGGAGACGTCAAGAAGAAGGATGGGAGCTTGAAAATCGGTGATGCTGACACCAAGAAACGGGGACAAGAGGTTCTCCAGGGCGGGTCGCCTGTCCTGCCCGATGCTGGTAGGCAGAAGCTGCAGACTGAGGCACTACTTGGCCCACTCGACGCTGGGCTTCTTCATATAAATTTTAACACCTTTCAGCGCAATCAGGAAACGATGCTTCTGCGCATGATAGATGCTATCGAGAAACTAGGGAAGACTTCAGCACCGCAAGCTTCTCTCCCGTCTTCCCAAACTGCCCCTCCCCCTCCGCATCCCCCTCCCGCTCCGTCTGTCCAACCTCAACCGTCTGCTGCTGCACCCCATGACTCACGCCCCGGATGTTCCTTTCCACCACCACGACAGATCTACTCAACCCCTCCCCACGGTCACCCTCCTGCTAACAATCCACCTCGCCAACAGTCCTGCCGTGACCCTCCTACCCAACCTTCTAACGTTCCTCCTCCCAACCCTCCTTCACCTACCCCTCCATCCGCCAATCGGGTTCCCCCACCTCCCGCACCCCCATCCAGACCCACTACGCGCGCGCACATGAATGAAGTTGGTCCTTCCACAACGCACGGTGATGGTGCCATGGGTAACACATCTGGTACCCCAGCCACGACGACCCCCTCCTCAAGCAGGCCAACCGGGAGATTGGCTGAAGTTTTCGCTTCGGTCGCTGGGCATGCCAGAAGAGTATCGGGATCTTTCTTCGCTGCAAGAACCACTAATCTCGAGTTTGATCGAGTGCGAGAGGGCAAGAAGGTCGTCGTTGCTCCTTCTGGGCCTGATGGCAGGAAGCAGTATCTTGCTGGGATGAAGAAAGAATTGACGAAAGAATACAAAGCCGATCTCGAAGTTCTGTGTAGGAAGGACAATATCAAGTACGTTAACAAGAAGCAGGCTGTCAATTAACTGGCAAAGCTGCGAGCCCAAGACGCTTACGGAGACGCTGTCGAAGAGGACGATGAGGATCTTCTCAATGCCACAGAGACTGATTCTCAGGAAGAGAATCCTTCCTGATATCTTTTTGGGATCATGGATGGTTATGGAAACAGGCACATGTCATCCGTGGGGCTAGACGAGCTGCTGATCTTAAAGGATTTTAGTGCGTGCGTTTGGAAATGATGATGCGATTCATTGTGCTCATGTTGTTTGTGGTAGGGGCTGTTAGTTGGGGAAAAGAATTTGTAGGACACTGGATTGATTCTGTCCAACGCGGACATGATATTTGTGTTGATGAAGGTCATTGTGTTTACGTGCTAGTGTCTCCTTGGTCGAGAGCCTCGTATATCGGTTCTACTGGAAGGGGTATCACGGATCGTTGGAAATAACATGTTCGCTTGGCTAAGTCAGACACTCGGGGCAGAAACCACAAGCTGAAACGGTGGCTCGAGAGTAGAGGATGGGACTCATATGTGGCTATTCCGTTAGTATACCCCTCCGAGTCTGATCTTCATAGTGTTGAATCATGCCTCATCTCTAGGTACTCACCCTGCCTGGATAGTAGATACTACCTACTGCAGAAGAAGGAAGCCATGTAAGAGGAAGGGAAGGAGAGAGAGACTGACTTTCCTTAGGAGGAATGGGAAGCCTGTCATGGATGGTACTCATAATGATAAGCTTATTGAGTGGATGGTGTCTGATAGCTCGTCGTACGTCAGACCTGGTTCACTGCGTACATTTTCTCTCCTTGATTTTCTGGAAAATTGTGCAAGCAATGATATCTTTTTTGCAGCATTCGAATCAAAGGGAGGGGGGGGTTTCCTGGATGGTTGGGGAAGAATGTGCAAACGTTTTGGCATGACTATTATTGACCTTAATGGCTCCAGGGTCTTGTTGAAGCACCTACGCGCAAACTTGTGCAAAGGCGGAGTGTTCACTTGTGTTCAGATCCGCAGAAGTACTAGCCTTAGGAAAACCCGCAAATTTGTTTTAACCTCCCTGCTGCAGATCCCCTATACTAAACCGTTTCTCTATTCATTCCATCCGATTGCTCTGATCAAACTTTTTTCCGTTATTAACTCCTTTTCTTCAGACCGCACTAGGACGGTTCTTCACAGCATTGTGGGATCCGTTCTTAGAAGCAAAGTTGGCTTCAACTGCACTACGCCCATCGTTATCAAGGTAAGATACAATACTGCGATTATTAAACATAATGCGGTTAGTATTGTCAAGCAAGAGATCCGAAGGCGATGTGAACATCAAGCTCTGGCCGATTTCATTGTGTCCCGCATGCGTTTTGTTTGGTTAAAAAATCGTAGTGTTGGGCAATCTATCCATAATCATCGACAGTCTGCATCTACTGCCTTGGAATTCTGCTCATGTGCCGATTCTCCTCGTGATCTTAGCAGGAACGGTGATGGTCATGTGGAAGTACGCTTCTCTTCAATCGCTGGTCTTCTCGCTATTCTGCGGAATTCTCGAAACATTCTTCCCCGTAGTAAGCCTGCATCCTTGTCTCAGCTCAGGAATGCCATTACTGATGGGCTTAGCAGGCTACCTGGAGGCAGGATCTGCAGTTCTAAGGTGTTACGCGGGTGTCTCAAGACTGAATCGGATCTCTGCTGCCAACCTGGTGTTACTTTGGAAAGTTGGGTTGACAAACTAGACGGTTTAGTCGTTGCCCCGATAGATCATAATGTCGGTGACTCTCTGGTATGTTGCATGAGTATTTATTTTCAAGCTCTGGCTAAACTCTATTGGGAAAACGCAGGATTTGAGATTATAGATATGAACGAAGAAGAGGTCCTGGATTCATGCAAACGTAAGTTTGAATTGATACATGGGAATGCTATTGCCCGTTGGAACAGGAAAGGTAAGCTGGGCCGATGCTATGGCATTCCGAAACACAAAGACATCTCCAGATGGCGACCCATAGCCCCTTCTTTCTCTGAGCCCAATGCACGAGCCTGTAAACTGGTTTCTAGGGCTGTCAACTTTCTGTTATGGAACCTTCCGGACGCATCGAACTTCAATCTGAAGTCCACTAATCAACTGAAAGGCAAGATATCGTCCTTAGATAAAAAGGCTGTAAGATCGAGTGAGGGTCTGTTATTTTCGGCCAGTTACAATATTAAGGAAATGTTCACAAAATTGCCGCACCATTCTATCCTGAAGGCACTTGATTGGATATGCTATTTCTATTCCGGCTTAGGAAAGAAGAAGGTGAGGGTTAGCAGACTAGGAAAATGGGCTACTTTTTGCAACGGTCAAGGCGAGAAGGGATGGTTGTCCCTAAAATTTGAGCAGATTATTTCCTTCGTTCGATTTGATCTGGATAACACTTTCTGTTGTGCCTCTACCTACATCATCAGGCAGAAGATTGGTATCCCTATGGGCAAGAGCTCTAGCCCGGCCCTGGCATGCTTACTCTGCTCGTATAATGAGGTCGTTTTTCTTAGCTCGATTGGGGTCGACTCCAAATTCATTTCTGGTTTTAGATTGGTTGATGACATAAGTTTCTTCATTTTGCTTCCCCCGAAGCTCACTTGTGCGCAAGACACAGCAGACAGGATTCTGAGAACTTTTGAGAAGGCCTACGATGACAACCTTACACTTGTTCGAACTGATGACTACAATGGGAATTGGGATTTTTTAGGATGTTCGATCGACTGCACAATGAAGCCCCCAAGAGTTCGCAGTACTGCCGTGATGAAGAATCAGGAGTTTATCTGGAGCGATAAGCCCATTCAAATTATCTCCACACAAGATTATTTTTCCTACGGACCAGTTAGCCAGAAGAAGGCGGCTATAAAAGGACATCTCAACAGGATTTACTCCCACTCAGATCATAGGGGAGTGGGAGGTACCCTGCTTGCTCTTCGACGAGAACTTAGACTGAAAAAGTACCCTCGGAAGGCCTTCCCCTCGGTCCTCAGCAACTTCTCGGCCGAGAAACAGGGCTGCTGGGATTTTTGGGTGCACGTTCTGTCGGAGGGACTGTTCCTAGTTTGAGGTCTAGCTCCCCTCAGATACCAGCAAGGGCTGCATATTACCCCTCGTAGACCAGCGTTCCAACCCCTTGCTATCTTGGTTCCAAACCCTCTCTGCTACCGGCTCCCGCCCTGTCCTGGCCCTCATTCATCTGCTATTTTGCACACTGGACGCCGATCCTCTGATCTCAAATCGGCCAGCCATCTGTCCTGGAGAGCGCTGACTGATCCTTCGCAACCCGCCTTTTCTATCTCTTCACACACCCCCTGCGCCACGATTTCTTCACCCTTCCTGACTCCCGGATCTCCTTCTTTCAGCCATTTGTCGTACCTCCGACTCCCTGAGAGTGCACTACCCTGTCCCCTTCTCGCCCACGCTCCCCACTCCGCGTCTCTCTTAGACCTATGCCCTTCCTCCCCCACGACAAACTTCTGTCTCCGCGCCACCTTGCTCTTCCGTCTACTTGGTCTTTGCTCCCCTCCTCCACACAAGATAACCCTTGTCTCTCTGACTCCATCCTTCTGATTTCCGCCCAATCTTCGCTTGCCGTATCTGTCGTCTGGCTTCTTCTCCATGTGCTGCTGCGCGCTACTCTGACTGCTACCCTTTCCCGCTTCCCTTCTCAGTTCTGCCCCTTTCCCGCTTCCTCCCCAACTCGCCAGACCAATGTCTCTTGACGGTAAACCTGCCCTGATACCCCAACTTTCTCGCCTGAATCACCCAGAATCATGGACCTGGTCAGATTGTACTGCCAACTTGGAAACTCGGGACTGTTCTAGATTACTCGATTCTGGGCGCCCTCCCGGATAACATGGGAAAGACGCCATTTCTATCACTATTTAAATCAGGTATGCCGATCACTTCGTCAGCGCATTCCAAGTCCCCTGACGAGGGCCACCCGCGGAAGTGGCCGAAACGCGGCGTAGGGACGTCCGCAGCAGGAATCCTATTCATACTATATTTTTCTTTAATGATTCCTGTTCTTTTTGCGCTATCGAAGTGTTTTTTCGCCCCCATCTCTATTTCCTATCTCCCCTTCTCTGCAGCTGCGTTCCAAAGTGCTTTCCCTCCCCGGTCTCTATTTTCTCTTCTCTTCTCTGCTCTCTCCTCATTTCTCTCCTCTTTTCTCGCTTCTCTTCTCTTCTCTCCTCCTCTCCTCTATACTCCGAATGATGCCCGTTGTTTTTTGTGACATGATCTATGAAGCAGGTCCATTTGCGCACCTTGTGTGCATCGTTAGTCAGACCTCGCCGTCTGCATTCAGATTGAACTGAATTGCGCGTCCGTAATCTTCTTCCAATCACTTCGCCAAGGCTGCCCCCTGGCTCCCTTATTGTTCGTAGTGCAACTTGATGTGTTGTTGGACAATATTCGCTGTAATGCCTGTATCAAGGGCCTGAAAATCCCCCCCCCCTTCCAGTGGAAAGGAGGGGCTATCGCAGACGACCTCACGGTTGCCTGCAAGAACTCAGTTGAATTGACGACTGAGCTCAGGGCTGTATTGGACGAGTACAGTGAGCTATTCGAAGCTACTTTTAACTTGACCAAATCGGTAGTACTCCTTCCTGAGTCTTTTGCATTCAAAGGCGATTGGGGGATGAAATTAGGGCCCCCAGGCTCTTCTGAAAGGCTTCTGGGTGTGCAAGTTTCCTTGTCCAACTGTGCTCTTTTTTTTTTTCTTTTTTTTTTTTTTTTTGGTCAAAAAGTTGTGGAGGATATTGGGAAATGGGAGAGGGGCAAATTCCTCTCGTTATTAGGACGGGCACTGGTTCTCTCTCAGCTGCGGCCTTTTCCACCCTTTGGTTTGTCCTGGCTGTTCATTTGCTAGGAGAGTTGGCTTATGCTCTTATTCGCTGCTGTGCTGCGAACAGAACTTTGAATGTTTGAAGAAAGCAGTTCCTTCCTCCTGGACTACATCCTTACAACGGGGTAGACACCCAGCGGTGGACTCGCGGGTTCATCTCACCTTCCGACACCAATACCTTCTGGCGAGTCATCGGCCTGC